TAACAGGAATACAGAGTACTGGGCTAATGGTAAGATTCTTGGTAGTGTGGATGAGCAGAAAGATCTCGGTGTCCATGTGCATAGATCACTGAAAGTTGCCACCCAGGTTGATAGCGTTGTTAAGAAGGCGTACAGTATGTTAGGTTTTATTGGTAGAGGGATTGAGTTTCGGAGCCATGAGGTCATGTTGCAGCTGTACAAAACTCTGGTGTGGCCGCACTTGGAGTATTGCGTACAGTTCTGGTCACCGCATTATAGGAAGGATGTGGAAGCATTGGAAAGGGTGCAGAGGAGATTTACCAGGATGTTGCCTGGTATGGAGGGAAGGTCTTATGAGGAAAGGCTGAGGGTTTTGAGGCTGTTTTCGTTAGAGAGAAGAAGGTTAAGAGGTGACTTGATAGAGACATACAAGATGATCAGAGGGTTAGATAGAGTGGACAGTGGGAGCCTTTTTCCTCGGATGGTGATGGCTAGCACGAGGGGACATAGCTTTAAATTGAGGGGTGATAGATATAGGACAGATGTCAGAGGTAGGTTCTTTACTCAGAGAGTAGTAAGGGCGTGGAATGCCCTGCCTGCAAAAATAGTAGACTCGCCCACTTTAAGGGCATTTAAATGGTCATTGGATAAACATATGGATGATAATGGAATAGTTTAGGTTAGATGGGCTTCAGATTGGTTTCACAGGTCGGTGCAACATCGAGGGCCGAAGGGCCTGTACTGCGCTGTAATGTTCTACGTTCTATGTTCTCACACTCCATCTGTATTTTAAATTCGACCATACTGTGATCGCTCCTTCTGAGAGGATCCCTAACTGTGAGATCATTAATTATTCCTGTCTCATTACACAGGACTAGATCTAGGATAGCTTGCTCCCTCGTAGGTTCCATTACATATTGTTCAAGGAAATTATCGCAGATGCATTCTATGAACCCCTCCTCAAGGCTGCCATGACCGACCTGGTTTGACCAATCGACAAGTAGATTAAAATCCCCCATGATAATTGCTGTACCATTTTTACATGCATTAGCTATTTCTATGTTTATTGCCCGCCCCACCACGATGTCATTATTTGGTGGCCTATAGACCACACCTATCAGTGACTTCTTCTCCCTGCTATTCCTAATTTCCACCCAAATGGATTTAACGTTTTGTTCAGTAGAACCTATATCATCTCTCACTACCGCCCTGATATCATCCTTAAAAATCAGAGCAACACCACCTCCCTTACCTTCCTGTCTGTCCTTCCGAACAGTTTGATACCCCTGGATATTTAACTCCCAGTCATGACCATCCTGTAACCATGTCTCTGTAATGGCCACTAAATCATACCCATTTGCCACGATTTGCACCGTCAACTCCTCCATGTTGTTTCGAATGCTCCGAACATTCAGATGAAGTGCCCTTATGCCAGTTTTTGCACTTTCTTTTTGGGTCCTATTACCTCCATTACTAACAACTTTTGAGTTCTCCTTTCCTTTAACTTTTTTCCTAATTTTCAATGGAGTTGAAGCTTCCTCGTCACCTGCTAACCTGCTGCTTTGCCTTACATTAATTGTTATTCTCCCACTACGCTCACTTCTCCCTTCCCCCCTACTTACTAGTTTAAAGTCCTATTAACCACCCTATTTACCCTTTTCGCCAGAACACTGGACCCAGCCCTGTTCAGGTGGAGTCCATCCCAGCGGTATAGATCCCTCCTGTCCCAGAACTGATGCCAGTGCCCCATGAAAAGGAAACCCTCTTTCCCACCCCACTCTTTTAGCCACATGTTTACTTCCCTGATCCTCGCCTCCCTATGCCAATTTGCACGTGGCTCGGGCAGCAATCCAGAGATTATGACCCTAAAAAATACCTTTCTTCTGCTAATTCTGCTGTCAGGGATGTTTTATCTCTATAATTTGTTCAATGAGGACTTTGAGCTAAAATACTGTGGTACCTTTGATTAATTAGATGGGCTTTCTCTGAGAGGGGAATGATGCTAACTCTGGCACGTGGCAGATGGCTCTCCCCAATTTTCCAAATGCCTTTGTCTTATATACCCGTAATGACAAAATCAAATTCTTATAATATGATTGGTTTCAGGTTGTCAACGCCATCAGATTTAAATTTAATTGGCTTTCTGTATCTAGGTGCTTGGTTTAAATTAATTGGCCAAATTCAAACTTGTTGTCTTGGAAAAACTGCTGCTTGGCTGTTCTATATAAAATGTTTCCATTCGGGCACTCTCTGTGCACCTGCATTTATAAACTTCCAAGCACAGATAAAGCATAAGCTCTTAAAGGGAACTTTTCCCCACAATCATTTTTACCAACACATTCTAACTTCCTGCCTTCCAATTCATGAATATTCTACCCAAGTACAGAACATAATGTTGCTGTTGGCCCTCCTTACATGGGAGTCCATACTGACCAGCTAGCAGAACCCTTGCCAAATTATCATATGCTGTACTCCAAAAAACCTGACCCGAGCACAAAGACACCTTAAGATGAAGGAGCAGAAGTAGACCATTCAGCCCATCAAGTCTGCTCCATCATTCAATAAGATCAAAGCTGATCTGATAATCCTCACTTCCACTTTCCTGTGTCTTCCCTATAACCCTTGATTCCCTTACTAATTAAAAACCTGTCGACCTCAACCTTGAACTTTCTTACAGACCCAGCCTCAACAGCCCTCAGTGGTAAAGAATTCCACAGATTCACTACCCTTTGAGAGAAGAAATTCCTCCTCATCTCTAGTTTAAAAGGGTGACCACTTATTCTGAGAATATGCTCCCTGGTCCTCGGCTCTCCAACAAGAGTAAACAACCTTTCCATATCTCCCCTATGAAGTCCTCTAAGCAGCTTGTATGTTTTAACGTGGTCACCTTGCATTCTTCTAAATTCCATTGAATACAGGCCCAAATCTCTCAACCTCTCCTGATAAGAAAACCTCCATACCCAGAATCAACCTAGTGAACCTTCTCTGAATCGTGTCCAGTTCTTGCATACCTTTCCCTAGATAAAGAAGACCAAAACTGTACACAGTATTCTAGCTGTGGTCTGAGCAGCCTATTGCATAGTTTTAGCAAAGCTTCCCTATTTTGAAACTCCATTCCCTTTGAAATAAAGGCCAACAGTCCATATGCCTTCCCTACCATCTTTAGAACTCGCTTGCTAGCTTTTTGTGATATATGCACAAGGACCCCCAAATTCCTCTGTGGTCCAGCTTTCTGCAACTTTTCACTGTTTAAATAGTATTCAGCTCGTCTATTCTTCCTGTCAAAGTGCATCATCTCACCTTTCCCCACATTAGACTCCATCTGCCAAGTTTTTACCAACTCATCTAATCTGTCTATATCACTCTGAGGTTTTTCATATCATTCTACATGCCTTCCTACTGACTTTTGTGTCACCTTCAAACTTAATACATTCACTTTCCTCATCCAAGTCATTAGATATATTGTAAATAATTGTGGCCCAAATACTGATCCCTGTGGCACTCCAGTAGTTACAGGCTGCCATCTTGAAAATGCCCCCTTTATCACAACCCTCTGTCTTCTATTAGTTAGCCAATCCTCTAATTCATGCTAATTTACTACACCAACACCACAAACTCTTAGCTTATTAAGAAGCTTTACATGCGAAACCTTATTGAACCTGAAATAACTGCACAAAGGCCAGCATCCCATCACAAAGTCACCCTTTATTTACTTGTGCACTGAGGAGATTCTAACTATCCCAGTTATTTTTTTTAAAAAACCCTACTGCCACATAGCAGTAGTGCTTATTTTTCCCAGCACCCACATTATGTACGAGACACAGTAAAAAAAAAACACCAGCTGTGTAAATAACTTTATTGATAGTCCACCACCAGGAAAAGCACTCATGTGGCCAAAGAACCAGTAGCAATAGGGCCCCTAGGGGCAATGCATATATGAATGAAAAGGTGAAGGGAGGGGAGGGATCAAATTAATATAGAATTGAAGGGGAAAAATCTCCTGGTTATTTTTTTTTGTGTAGGCATGGGACACAGTAAAAAAACACCAACTGTGCAAATAACTTTATTAACATACCACCACCAGGAAAAACACCCCTGTGACAAAAGCATCAGTATCAAGCAGAGCCCCTAGTGGCAATACCGATGTGGGAAAAAGGTAAGGGGATGGTTGGGGATCAGATCAAAATAGATCTGTGGGGGAAATAAAGCACTCCACGGTGCCCACCTTTCCCAAAAGGCATCGAGTGCCCGTGCCCACCCCGTGCTTTTTCTCCTGGGACAGCAAGGCGCGGACGTAGCCACGGAAGAGGGGTTCCTGGTTATATTGATCAGCCAGGGCGTCCCTGATTGGCCAGGTTAACAACCCCAATCAAGGACTGCATAGTCAACAAGATCCAGCTCATTCCAATCACTACATCCCATTCTATCAGTTTGGTATCAAGTGAGGCTGTAGGCTGCTTCTTTAAACCTGCCTTCAACATTTGGGCCACTCTTTCCACTAGAGCATTGGACAACAGATGGTATGGAACTGTCTTTATGTGCCGAATGCCATTTGACTTCAAGAAACATTCAAATTCCCTGACGTTCCACTGTCCGTGACCAATACTTCTGGAATCCCTGTGTTGGGAACGGTGCTCGCAGCTTCTCAATCATCTGGAGATTGGTGAATAAACTTGATGCATACCCAACCACTTTGAATGGGTGTCCACAATGACCAGGAACAGACAGCCCATTAAAGGATCGCACAGTCGACATGCAACCGCATCCAGGGTTTACCTGGCCATTCTCACAAATGTGAGGGCACTGCTGGTAGCAATTTTTGTCCTTGTTGGCACTCCTGGCACTGCCCCACCGAAGCAGCTATGTCGACATTCAACCCCAGCCACCAGACATAGCTTCTTGCTAACATCTTGGAAACCCCTGGATGACCCTGGTGGAGCTCAGCCAGTATCTGGCGGTGACCTTTACTCGGGACAATCGCCCTTGCTCCCCACAGTAAGATGCTGAACTCTACGGTGATCTGGTCTCACCGGGTCCAGAAAGGTTTCAATTGTGGTCATGATGGCCCTTCATTTCCCCCATTACCACCAGCTGTTTTAGTTTCACTAGGACTGGATCTTTTGTGGCAACAGTCTGATATTGTCCGCAGTGATTGGAAGGGTATCCAGGAAGTTTAAAACCAAAACGGAGTCTTCTAGGGGAGGCATCGCCGGTGGAGTATCTGCCAGTGGGATGCAGCTCAAGGCATGAGGCACTTGTTCTAACTAGTGCTTGTACATGCTGAGAATAAAGGTCCCCAATGCTGAATTTGACCAGAAGCTATGACCAGCACTGCCTTGTCTTCCTTCAGTAGGCCTAGCAGGGCTTTGTGATCTGTTACTATGACAAATTCCCATCTGTAAAAGGTAATGGGTGGAACTTCTTCACACCAAAGATGACTGCCAAAACTTCCTTCTGTATCTGGGCATATTTGGGTTTGGCATTAGCCAAAGTACAGGAAGTATACACTATCAGGCATTCCTCTCCACTCGGCCACAGGTGAGCCAACACCACCCCGATATCATACAGGAGGCATCATATGTCAACACTACCTCTTGCTTTCGATCGTAGTGGGTCAAAACCTTAGATGACAATAGCTGCTTTTTCAGTTCCTTAAAGTCTACTTCTTGGCTACGTGACCATTTCCAAGGCTGACCCTCTTTCAATAGCAGGTGTAAGGGCACCAAGATGGAATCCAGGTTATGTATGAACTTTCCGTAATAATTCACCAGCCTAAGGAAAGACTGAAGCTCTGGTATAGATGTGGAAGCCAGGGCTCCTTTGATCACCCTCATCTTATCTTCCAACGGGTGTAACGCAGTTTTGGTCGACTCTTGTAACCCAAAGTAGGTCACTTGGGGTGCCTGGAACACACATCTTTTCCTTTTAAGGGTGTACACCCACCTGGGAGAAATGTTCAAGCACTATGTCCAACTTCTCCGAGTGCCCTTTAATCGGTCTTTTCTGTTATCAGTACGTCACCCAGATAAATGGCAACCTGGGGTAGCCCCAGTAAAACGTTCTCCATGGTCCACTGGAAAAGGGTGCAGGCTGATGATACCCCAAATGACAGTCTCGTATATTGATATACACCCTTATGGGCATTAACTGTAGTGTACTTCTGGGATTCCTCATCCAGTCACAGTTGCAGGTAGGCATGGTTCATGTCCAGCTTCATAAAGGACAGCCCCACTGCCAACTTTGTGTACAAATCCTCTGTGCAACGGATCGGGTACTTATCCAGTTGTGAGAAGCAGTTTACTGCAAATCCCCACAAAGGTGAACTGAGCCATCAGGCTTCACAACCAGTACGACCCATGCTGCCCATTCTGCAAACTGCACTAGTTTGATGATTCCTTCACTCTCCAGCTTCCTGATTCCCACCTCTACTTTTGCCTGCAAGGCAGATGGCACCAGGCAGACCTTGCAAAATCTCAGAATTGCTTCCTGGTCAACAGGTAAAGTGACGTTGGCCCATTTTGATACTTCCAAACCCTTCCTGAAATACTCCTAGGTATTTCACTAGGACTTCACTGAGGCAGCCATTTTCTCAGCAAAAAAATGTTGAGCCAATCAAGGTGAATTTTTCTCAACCAATTCCACCCCAATAGGCTTGTGCCTGAGCCTTTTACTACCATCAGTGGTAACTGCACCAACTGTTTCTCATAGGAGACCGGAACCAAAGTCATACCCTTAATGTGCAACGGTTCCCCAGTGTATGTTCTCAGTCTCACTAAGGTCTTGTGCAAACTTAAGGGCTGGAGTCCTGAGTAAATCTTGTTAAAGGCAGATTCTGGAACCAGTATCACAGTTGCACCAGTATCAACCTCCATGGGAACTGGGTGACCATTTAACCAAACATTAATTTTAGAATCGCTTCTTATTTGGATGTTGCTAAGCAATGTAATTGTTCCAAGCCACGTGCAGGGGGACTTTCCAGGGTCTGCGCTCTCCTGAGTACTGGCCTAAGAGACTTCTTACTCAAGTCAGGTCTTCTA